GTCTGAGGGCGGCTCAGGGCGCCGTTCCGCCCGTTTCCAGCGAGGCTCCTCGCGCGCCGCGGGGCGAGTTCCGAGCTGGACAATCACCACGAACGAACAGCTCGGACATGAACGTTTCCCTGTGAGAACGGAACCAAGCCCGGCCCCTCGCCGTGCCGGCTTCCTCTCTGCGCCCTCACCGCCTCGCCAGACCCCGGATTATTCCTCCCTCAGTCACCCCACACGGTGACGGGACTCGGGCCGGGACAGGTTTCCTCGCTCCGTGCTGCGGGATCCTGCCCACCCAGGTGACCCTGGGTCCAGGGGAGGCCACGACACCGGCCTCTCGGACACTGGCGGCTCCCCGCGGGGACCCGGCCCCCCGCCCCCCACGGCGCCCGAGGACTCGCTGCCAGCACCTGCCCCGGCTGGGAGCACCGGCTTGCGGCCAGCAAACGAAGCTTCACACCTGGGCTCCCCCAAGCCCCTTGGAGGACGAAGAGCTGCCTGAGAGCCTCGTGCCCAGGGTGTCTGCGGGGTTCGTGCATTTTGGGGTGCGGCCACCGCCTATGTGGATGAGTGTCATTGCTTGTCCTTGACTCTGGCAAATCTCTAACTAAACGATGCAAACTCACGCTTGCCCGACGTGTGCGCGGCACATTCATGCAGGCGTTTGGGAAACAGAAGGCAGCGGCCGGTCGCGCTCCCGCACGGGACCCGCCGGCGATCTGAGCTCGCATTTAGTTTCCTCTTCAGCAGTTAAAACATGAACGTTTGCTGTGCACTCGGACTGCTAAACGGACCGGCGGATCGTGTCTCGCTCGTTTCCTTTCGCTCGACAAAATCCAAAAACCTGGGAAACATGTTCGGATGCGTCGCTGAGTTTTTCAGCCGGTTTTCGTGTGTTTCCCAGAGTCACGTAATTTTGAGTTGTTTTCTTACGTTGAGAAATCTCCAGAGCTCTTTGCATTTCTACCTTCGTTGCTTGGAGCATTTTAAACAGAAGCTTCTTGACAAGCAGACGGTCTGACGTTAGCTGTCTTTGTTGGTAACAAACCCAAGTGTTTCAACGAATCATGCCGTTTCTGCTATGATTTTGTTTTTCTTTATTAGACACTTCACATCTCAGTGTGGAACAAATTGCCAATAACAAATAATAAATGACCTGTAGCAAACTGCATACAGTAAGTTCCCGAGCTAAGATGTTTTACTCAGCCTTAATTATCGGGTCGTCATTAAATACCGCTACCGGGTCGGGTTAGGTATGGAGAATGGAAAAGCAGCCTCCGCCTTTCAGCCTGTGCAAACAAGTTCACATGCACGTCGCATAACTACAGGAGGGCATCAGTTTACAGTAAGAGTATCGCCGTGGGCCCTCCCTGGCGGCGCAGGGGGTCGGAGCGCAGCACTGAGAAGCTGAAGCCACTTGAGCACGAGTTCGATCCCCGGCGTGGAGGTGACCACAGGGCGCGGCAGACCTCTCCTGTCTCCCCGCTGCTCCCCTCAGCAGTGGACTTACTCAGTCGGCCTGTCCTGCTCCCCACTCTGTCTCTGGTGAAGCCTCTCACCGCCCCTGCACCTCCGGCCTGTACCCCAGTTCTATGTGTATAAATAAATTAATCTTAAAAAAAAAAAAAAGACATCGGTGCTGTGAACACCTCCACACAACATGAGGGTATCTGGTTCCTCAGGCACATGGAGGGCCCCTCACCTGCAGCTGAACCACCCTCCGTCCAGGGAGCACCTGCCGGCTGTGGACACCAGTGGCCACTGGGCTGGGCAAATGGCCGCGCGACATGTCAGTCTCAGGCCAGAGGCGGTGGAATCGGCGCTGTCTCCCTCAGAGGCCCAGTGCGGGGTCTGGAGCGAGGGGGGTCAACCTGGCGAGGGGGCCCCTCTTGCTGCGGGAGGCGCCCTGGCGCCCACAGCACTGTGCCCTGACTTGGGCCTCCCGCCAGGCTGAGGCCGCCGCATTCTCTGGAAAGGCTCGGAGCACACGCAGGCGCCAGGGCGCCCCCAGACCTGGGCACTTCCTGCTGACGCCCTGCAGGGACGCGCGTGTGCATGCGTGTGCAGTGTGCACGTGCTGGGGGTTGGGGTGCAGACCCGTGGCATAACGTGGGTCTATGAACGCTGCCAGTACAGTCTCTAGGCGGGAAGACGCATGCGAACCCGCTGAGGGGCCACTAAGGAAGAGTGGGCGCTGCGGGGCCTGTGAGCGGGAGACGAACTGCGCGGAGCCGGGTGGCCGGGCTGGGCCCTGGGCGCAGCTCTTTCAGGGGGAGGTGCAGCCCGCGGCACGGGGCGCAGGGTGGGGGGACACCCCGAGGAAACCGCGGCCCAGGGGCGCGACAGCAGGCGCCCGCAGGGCTGACCGCCGGCCACCACAGGCACTGGGCGGGAGCAGGGACGCGGTCTCGGGCGGAGGTGCGGGCCAGGGTGTGCGGCTCTCGGCCAGCCCGCGAGCCCCGACCGCACGCGTGCAGTCCCGCAGCGCCCCTCAGCTCAGACCGTCTCCCCACGGGGGGCGCGGAGTGAGCTTGGCGGAGCCTTCACACCCTCGCAGGAACGGAAGCGGCACAGAGAAGTCGCCCCTTCGGAGGGCTTTATGGGTGGGTTTCTTTTTTTGGAAGATTATGCATTTATGCGTAATACTTGGGCTCGAGGTTCCTTCTGGACAGGCCGGAAACAGGGTGGAGCGCGGGTGGAGCAGCACGAGGCACTTCTGGCGGTCTCTCGGCGCAGGTCTCGGGGGTCCTGCGTTAGTGTAAGCTCGTCTAGACCTGACCCGCCTGAGGTGGCGCCACGAGATGAGGCCCAGGCTCCCCGACGCCTCTCACGGTCATGCCCACGCGCCCTCAGTTTGCCGGGCGACAGAGGACAAGCAGCCTTTAGCGTCCAGTGCGCTACCGGGGACGCCTCGCCCTGGCGCGTTCTGCCCGACCCTGCCGCAGGTGCCACGGGGTGCGGGACCGCCGTGCGGGGTCAGCCCAGAAGAAGGGATCCCGAGGCCAGGGGTTCTGGCACAAGGGGCGGCTCCTGCACCCACGAGGGCTGTCTGGTGTCTGCTTCTGTTCTCTGTCCACTAAACAGATGAAGGACTTGGACAAACGCATCCTGTTTCCGCTGCCGGACTTTAAATCTGTCCCGAGTCCTAACGCGTCAAAGACGAGCTCGCGTCAAGCCAGCGGCCCAGCGGTCCCCAGCCCGCCGCGTCTGCGTCTCGGGGAGTTTGCTCGGCCCTGGCAGACAGGCCGCGGCCGCGACGCCCCTGGCCGCCGTCCCCGCACGGGGCCTCCGGGCTGACCTGGTTTCTGAGTAGAGCTGAATGAGGAGCGTCCGGATGCCGCAGCCCTAGCGACTCAGAGCAGAGCAGTTTCCAGAACGGTTACCTGGCGTTTCCGGCCCGAGCTCTCGGAGGGGAGCCAGCGCCGAGGAAGACGTGGGCAGCGCGGCGGGGCTCTCTGTGCATGCAGCTGTCCTCCCAGGCTTCGCTTCAGCGCCGTCCTTGCTGTGTTCAGAGCGACGGCGCGGCGCTGACGACTTCGGTCTCATCTCTGCACAGGTGCCGCCGGGGGACAGATCGGGGCAGACCCGCGCTGCCCACGCAGGGAGCTGGGGCCGGAGCCGGACTGAGCGGCCAGCACGGACCGGCGCCCGCCCCCTCTGTCCGCCCCGCAGACAGCGACCGTGTGGACGCCGGGGGGGGCACGCTCTGCCCCGCTCTCTTCGGAGGTGGAAGGAAACAACAGAAGCTTCTCCACCTCCACGGACACGGGCCCCAGCTGGCCGCCGCTCCACCTGCTGGGGTCTTCCTAAACGCGCCGCGGCCCCGCTCAGCGCGGCCCCTGGGCCACCTCCCGAGGCCGTCCGCGCTCAGGCCCGCGTCCCCTCACCCGCGCTTGTCCCTCCTGATGTCCTTCACGCTGCAGGCCGGCCCAGGGTCTAGCAGCCGGGCAGCGGCCAGCCCCCTTGCCTGGCAACTCGGTGTCTTCGCCTCGGATGTTCCTGCCAGACAGACTCGCTGGGCCGCTTCGCTGGCCTGGCGCTGCTCCCTCTCCTCCAGAGCAGAAGCGGAGACGTGGCCCCCATCACGGCAGCCGGGAAGGGCAAGGGACCGTGGACGTGGTCACGCCCTAACGGCACGCTCGCTCCATGCTGGACAATCCACCTGTCAGGCAAAGCTGCCCGTGGCTGGCGTGCGGGCGTGTGCAGTTTCCCACGACGCCTACTTCTCACAGGCGGCCCTGGCAGTACCCTAGGAGAAGCTGCTACCCACACAGCTGACCGACAAGCACGCTGACCTTCTCCCGGAGGGCAAACGTCCACCACCGGCAGCACAAGAGCCTGCATCCAGACCACCACACAGGGCCCTGGGAACCAGCCACACCACGGCATCCCGCCATGGGACCGACGAGCCCCCACGCCTGCTGTGGTCTGTGGCGGGGGCCACTAATGAGTCTCACGGCCACGTTCAGGGGAGACACATCCTGCCGGTCGCAGACAGGCCACTCGCAACGAGTCAGCTCAGTTCTCGATGATGCTCCAACCATGTGTGTCTTTCTCCCGCCTCAGGGCTGCCACCTGCCTGCTGCGTCCTCCCACGTGTGGGACGGTCAGTCAACAACCAACTGCAAACGTTTTTCCTGGGCTGAGAATCTCCAGGATCCACTGGCTTTGCTCTATAAAGCAAACAGATTCCACACAGAACTGAGTCACGCATGTGTGTCCTGCTGAATTCGCTGAAAACTCAAGGCCCGTGAACTGCGCCCGGCAGGGCTCCCTTGCCGGCTTTTTCTGGGCCGAATAATATTCCACGGTGTTAACCCAGCACCGTTCTTTATGCGCCACATGGATGGGCGGCGGTGGGCGTCTTCAATGTAACCTTTTCCCCTTTGGATCGACACCCAGAGTGGGACTGCTGGGCGATAAGGTCTTAATTTCCTGAGGACCGCTGTGCCGTGTGGCGCGATTTACACTCCGGCCGACACGTGCAGGCTCCTGTCCCACGCCGGCCGGCTCCTGCTGTGGTGACAGCCGTCCTGCCAGGAGAGCGGTGAGGCACCTGAGTGTCCCCTCAGGGGCCTCCCGGCCGCAGGAATGACAGCTTCTTCCTCCCGTGTGCCGGCGTGCAGACGCCTGGGGAGACAGGAGGTGCCCACGCCGCGGGGCAGCGTGCACGTGTGCAGACTTCAGAGGTTCTTCCACTGAGTGAACCAAAGAAAACGATCAAACGCTCAGCGCCACGCCCAGCACACAGCTCTGCGGGCCCCGGTCGACACCCAGCGGCCGCACAGCCCCGAGCAGCCGGGGCGCCTTCCCAGGCCGGTTCTGTCGCAGGCTGAGGGTGGACAGGAGATGGACTGCTGTCTGCACGCGGGCGCCCGGCTCCTGGGCACGTGCAACTTCTCACCAGAGACAGACAGACAGACAGAGCTCCTGGACGCCCGGCCCAGGCACCGGAGCCCGAGGGCAGTGTCCGTCCTCCAGCGACCGGGCCCCGCGGGCAGCGTGTGCGGGGCCGGGCCCGCCTGGCCCAGCCGGCTGTGCAGCCTGCGTCTGGAGGTGTCCCTCCCTGAAGAGGCGTCCGGCGAAGACCGCCGCTGCGGCCAGCACAGGCTCGCGGACGAGGCAGGACCCCGGCAGGCAGGGGGCACGCACAGCCCATCTCCAGCCGGCCCCCACTCGCGTCTTGCCAGCTGATGTCCTGACACCGTGAAAAATGTCCACGAAGCAAAATTTGTTTTTCTTAATTAAAACCAAAGCCCACGTGCTATGTAGAGGTTGCGGGGCGCCCGACGGCCTGGGGACCCCATGCAGCCCCCGCCGGGCATCGGGGCAGGGTGGCCGCGTGCC